GTGATTATTATCAGCACACGAGGGGCAGAAAAAAGCAGAAAAAGCTCCCGCTTCTGCCTGTCACATTCCTTGTGAAAAGCGATCTGACACTTAAGGGATAACTTGGTTTGCTGTGTCTTCCATTCCTACCACCTAACTCCCTTTGGCATTTGCTCCTCTATGTTCTATGTTGTGAGCTTGATTTTTGTCTGTGTGACTGTCCCGACTGTTTGGAAGAGAGGGCCACCTTTCCTCTCCCCAGCTCTGCCACAGCCTCCTCTGGGTGCTGGCCTGCATGAGTGTGCCCCTGGCTGCACCTATCCGGAACGTTAGTGAGATGCTCTGTAGGTAAAGATTATTCAAATGTTATTTCTGAATTTTCCAAAGCTTTGTCTTCTGTATTGGGAGCTCACACCACTTTCTTAGACGTGAGTGATGATAAAGCAATCTTCCGTAGTTACCCATCTGCTGAGCTTGTTGTCCTGGCTTCTGATGAGCATTTAAAAAGCAGCACTCCATACTGGACATAGATCTTATTTTGATGTCTTGCATTTTGCTATAAGGAAGTTTTCCCATTCAGGCCAATAGGAAAGTACCAGCTGTACAGTGAAGCATAACTGCAAGATAGGTTTGGGAGTGATTAAAAGAGGTGCATAAATTAACTGAAAAATAGGGCCCTGCCAAGTGTTCATACCAGTTGGGAATATTGGTATGTGAAAGCAGTATTTAAACAAATAATTCAGTCTTTAGCTTTGGTGACCTTGATATGAGCTATTGTCAGTGGCCCTGTACACCATACAGAAGAACAGAGTTCAGGACCCATCTTTGCCACTAATGTGTCTGTAAACTTGGTACATCACTTCACTTATCTGGGCCTCAGTTACTTCATCAGTTATAAGAGGGTGATCTCAAAACCAATGTTACCTCCTATGAGCCCATGAGCAATGTTCCTTCCATCTGCTTAAATAAAAAAGCAGAGAGGTCTGGGTGATTTGGATCAGCCAACAGTGTGGGGTCACTCTGAGGCCAGAACTGGCTTTTTTTGACCTTGAAGCAGAGAACACATTTGAATGATCAAGGACAGTCACACCAAAGCATTGTAACAAGGAGTTTCCTTTCTTGTTTTTTTTTTTACTTCTCTCATTTTATTGTAGGAGATTCAGGTAACCTTCTCTGCAGTGTTGCTGAACAAATGATCCGGGAAAGAATGAGGAGAAGAGTTGCAGGCTGGTGTGTGTGTGTGTATGTTTTGGTTGCGACTGTGACATCTTTCCTTCTGTCTCCATTCCACTTGCTGGCCAGCAAACTTGTGTTACGTCCCTTTCATGCCTCTCTGTTCTGCCTCAGGTAAGGTTTGCACCACTGCTTCAGAGGGTCCCAGGAAGCACCACGTAAGATTGCTCATGCACTTCAGCACACATGCCTTGAATTCACCTCATGGTTATTGGGAAGTGAGTCTAATAAAATACATATTTTTAAAAACCAAACTTCAAACAGATCAGGAAACTTCACTTGAGTAAGCTGCATATTTAGAACAGAAATCATGTTAGCTGACCCCCTTGAGGGCATCTTCAAGAGACAAGAAGTGAATGATCTTACTCTTCTAGTTATTACACTCTGTCAGCAATTGCTATTTGAAATATCTTTAAAGCGTGACAATGATGCCACCAGCTCTGAATTTTTTACATCTTACACCTTACATCCTTTCTTCTCCTCTTGTGTTCTTCCTCTTTTCTTCCCTTCCTACAGTTCTTCTGCCACAAAGTACAAAAAGCCATCTTTATTAGTAAATTTCAGTAATTTTTGTATAGAAAGACATTCCTGACTTAGTGATCAGAAAGTGGTAAGTTGATCCTTAAGTATTTGTGTGGTTAAATGAACTCAAGTGAACACAATATTACAACATTCCAGGGATAGACAGCATTGACACAAAGAGCTGAATTGCTATTTAAGACATCTGAAATACTGTTTAAAAACCTCAGTCTTTCCTTTTTAAAACTTTTTTAAAGAAATTCTTCAAAAATGGAAAAATAAAACTGAGCAGTCAGGATCTTGAAGCTATTCTGACACCCTGGAGCCAGATAGCTACATTTAGAAAGATGCTTTTGAAAAGATGCTTTCAAACTCATTTTTAAGTTGGATTCATTATGTCTGTTGTCTCAGTCTTTTTCATTGTGCTAAGTCTGAATTGCATACCTTTGTGGTGTAGTATTAGAGTAGTTAAGCCATGTTATCCTTTATGGATTTCCATTTAGTTTTAAAGCTTCTTAAATGAAATTGTTCAGAAGAACAAATACTTCTTGTATTAAAATATATCTCCTTATGTCATTTTCCTTCATATAGCATTCTAAAAAGAAGTTGATAAATACCAACATATTGGAAAAGATGGAACTAAAGCAAAAAGTCTGGAGGGAAGCTACTGCAATCCTGTATCACAAACATGTGTTGCATCAGATGTATACTTAACATAGGTAGCATCTTCTAGGATATGTAGTATAAACACTGTATACAACAACCTCAAATTAGTAATACACAAAACCCCATAATTTGATATATTTTTAGTTGGTATCTCTTCCCCCACCTCGTTTGTAGTAGAGTCATACTTTCTCTTTGTCGAGAACATCTTATTAAACTGCTTTTCAAGAGTTAAGCCCATCCAAATCTATACCCAGCCCGTATTTTACTGCCATGTCATCACTAGAGGGGTATTTAGAGTTCTGAAAGAATAAAATATACTGAGTTCTGAGATGGCTGGATCAAGCTTGAGGGTGTGTCCTGTCCTTCTACAAAAAGAACTTTCTACTTAATGATTCTGAAGTTCAGAACTATGTTATATGACAAAAATTGCAAGTTTTAAAAAGGGACATAAAAAATGAAAATACAGTGCATTGCTTTTATTTTTAAGTCTGGAAGACACTTGAGATTCCATACACAAACCCGTGGGGACCTGATCAACCACTGCCATGAACTTCCAAGAGGAGCTCTAAGGCGACATAGAATTTGATTAAAGGATAGGGCAGAGCTTTCAAAAGTGGGTGAAATGTCCTGAGATATCTCTATATTTTCCTTGACCCTTGGAGTTTCAATGACCACACTTGTCTGCATCTCCCACCTTCTATTTTCTTGCCACTACCTGCAAATAGTACTTCCACCCCCCTCTCCTCAAACCATGTAATCCAAAAGTAATTCTCAAGTTTTCCCAAAAGCATATATTTTCATAAAACTCAAAGAGGCAGGATTTAACCAGACCAACCCTTCTTGAGTTTGCCCGTTTCTTTAAGAAACTAGGCTCTAAATTCCTAGTTATTCCTAGTGCTTAGTTATTCTACACCTGGGCAGAATTTTCCATGTTTTCCTAGACTGCCTTTTGAATCTGGAGACCCCAGGAACACTACAGGCAAGCAAACCAATCCCCTATATCAAAATAAAGATGTTTTACTTGTCTATTCACTAGTTATCTGGAGTGTGTGAGTCTGAGATTATACTGTAGTTCAGCAACTAAATTTCTCTTCAAACCAAAACTAAAAAGAGCTAATCAGAGCCTCTTTCTTAGCCATCAACGAAGTATTATATAAATTAGATATTGCAATATATGTTAGAAGCGCTTAAGTCAAAAAGTGTTGCTCCTGCATCCTTTGACAAATTGAACAATTATACATCCTATTCACGGCTATGTACAACACATATATAATTGTCCATAATATATTGATACCTTATATATGCAAATATATTCACATTATATATTTAAAACTTTATATAACATATGTTAACCACTGAAAGATAATTACAAGCATATATACTTATAGAAGTATAGTCTATATAATAGTCATTTATTACATTTATTACATCCACATCTACACACTTGCCAAGGCTTCCAGATTTGTCCTTGGTTAATAGGTTAAATATTATCTTGTTAAAAGCTTTTAATGGGTTACAAATGTCTTTTTGTTTGTCCCCCAGGATACTATGGGGACGGTCTAAATGCCATCATTGTGTTTGCCGCCTGTTTTCTGCCAGACAGCAGTCGGGCGGATTACCACTATGTCATGGAAAATCTTTTCTTGTGAGTGATACTTATGACGAAGTGCTTTGAGTTAATGTCTGTGGGCATGTATGGCAGATAAGCATCTTTAATAAAAGGAAATAAATAATGGAACATATCCTAAGCCTTTGATAAAAAGTCAATGAAATCTCCATCAAGGAACATTGCTCAAGAGACTAAAACCTTTAAGGTCACTCTTTCGTCAGCAGAATAAATTGAAAACGAAACAAACAGTTTGGCCTGCGTTTTAAAATTCTGTAATATTTCCTTTGGGTGAAGTATTATATTTGTTCTCTGATAACATGTTCTTAGCCAACTGATGATAACCTGAATTCATTTATATCTGCTCTTATTTAATCTGAGTCATTCTTAGTATATGACAACATTGTTGACATTTTTGAAAGTCAGGTTTCTTACCCATCCATTTTTCGAGTGTGCCTGCATTTTAAAAAAAAAAAAAAATAACTGTACAGAGAAATGAATAATACTCACTCTCAGAAAAATGATCTTAGGTAACTGCATTCTTTTCAAGGTGAAGAGGTAATATTCACAACTGTTCTTAAATGTCATACACTGTCATTTAAATGTTATATAATTATGGTATAAATAAGATGAAATATTTCATGTAGGAACTGAGAACACTCTTATTCCTTTCTGTGATCAGATATGTAATAAGTACTTTAGAGTTGATGGTTGCTGAAGATTATATGATTGTGTACTTGAATGGTGCAACTCCAAGACGGAAGATGCCAGGACTTGGCTGGATGAAGAAATGTTACCAGATGATTGACAGACGGTAGGTGGACTCCATTATTTAATCTCTACTTTGACTTTCTCAATAACCCCTGTTTTTAATTCCCTTTAATCTACAAAAAATGCAATCACATTTTAGGAACATTAAATTATGCAGAGTTGAGATAATAAATTATAAAAATATTAAAAGAGTCACTTGGTGCCCCAAATCTGAAATAAAGCAAATCCTCCCCAGATTTTGTTAAATGTTGTTATCTCAAACCTGGTGACCAAGTCTGTTTTAAACTACATGTATGCTATTGCCCCATGGAGGTTCAATTTGAGCTGATAAACCAAAGTATCCATGATTCTTTACTGGTATTATGTGATTTTGATGCTGTTTATGTCCACTGGGACTATTGTAATTTGGAGAATTGTTGTACTCTTAGTTCAACATTCATTGTTAATTCAAGTTAACCACTAGCCCACATGGTGCCTTTGGGTGCCCTTCCTCCAAGATACTTTACTTTCATCTATGCAAGTACCCTGTCATATTAACTAAAATTTGTTTAATGAGCCAGACATTTATAAAGTAACATTACTAAAGCTGAAAAACGTGCCTGAAAATCAGGAATGTTAAAATGGTAATCTGAAGGCCAAAGAACCACATGATATATGGTTACTATTTTCATCATATGTAAGAAGACACCAAGGCTCAATAAAATCAAGTAAATGGTCTAAGTTGTTAATAAGAGTGTATTCTTTTCAAAATAGTAAAGATAATGCTGACAAAAATGAAAAGCATCATTAAACTAATATATACCATGATGGTTATAGATTTACGGACTCTGAGAATACAGCCCTTCTATTTTACATTTATTCTGAGAAAATAAGGTTTGAATCATATAAGTTTCAGATTACATATCAAAAAGAATTCCTTTTATTAATCATGGCTATTCTATACCTTCTCTACTGATAATAGTAACTTGCCTACAGCTCTCTAATATTATGTATATTCTTGTTCAGGGATATACTTTCTGTTTTAATTCCCACTAAAAATGGTTTATGAGTCTTTTTTTTTTTCTTTTTTCAAAATAGGTTGCGGAAGAATTTAAAATCATTCATCATTGTTCATCCATCTTGGTTCATCAGAACAATCCTTGCAGTGACACGACCTTTTATAAGGTATGGTTATTATCTTAGTGAAAGCACTACTAGTAGTTTTTAAATACTATATATTCATTTTCCTTTTCCTATAAATAAGAATTCACCAACTAAGAGGAAGACATATTTATCACTGCCTTTCCTGAAAAGACACTTTGGAATACCCAGCAAGAGACCCTAATCTAATCAAGAGTGAGCAGTATTTCATAATAACTATTTTCTCCCTATTATTATAAAACATGATCTCTGTGTTGGTTGCTATAAACATAGAAGATGAAGCCATGGGTTTCCATGCCACATTACAAAAAAAATATAGACAATACTTTTAAAGTGATATATGGTATTTCGTAGAGAACAAGAAAGGTAGAGTAACATGACAATAGAAAATAAAGACAAACCAAGGACAGCAACAGGAGCCATGTCTCATCTTAATTTTTCTATTTCTGCTAAACAAATATCATGTAGGTCACCGAAGTTAGGTGAAGAGTCTCAGCAGCCATTTCGAGAGCTTTGTTTTGTTCTCCCATGAGGGTTCTTGGTTTTGATTCAGTCCAATTGGTGAATACTTATTCATCATTTATGTTGTGCTACATGCTATATAACCTTACATTTTAGGGATGCAAAAAGAGTAAGATGTGTATCATAGTACAGAAAGACTTGGAACAGTTAAATGAAAGGGATAGTATGTATTTTCTAGAGAACTTTAAAAATGTAATAAAATAAAGTCTTGCCTAACATCAGGATACAGATTAGGTAAATCAAAATTTTCTACCTCAAAGCTGTTAATGAATCCCTAAGAAAAATTCTGATAACTTTACTTCCAGAGGAAAAACATTATAGGTTAAAATTCCTTTTTTAAAAAACATATATTTTACTGTGCCTTCTAGATTCTACCTTTTTTTGTTCAGTGTTCACTTATAATTATTTAGCATTCCCATTTTCTATTTCCTACAATTGAGTAGCACAATTCAGTCTAATTTTCCTTTAGCAAAGGTTAGCTCTTTACTATCCATGTTAAATTGCCCTAAAAAAAAAACATGAAATATTGAAGATATATGAAAAGCCATTTATTTTAATAATAGTAGAAAAATATTTTGACAGAGGAATAGGAATCAGTGTACACTGAAGAGCTTATAAAAAGTTTAATGTGTAAAAAGTAAACATCGGAATATCTGGAATCCAAGGAACGAAAGAAACGAACAAAGTAAATGAAAACAGACTCACAAATGCAGAGAACAAACTGGTGATTGCCAGAGGGGAGGGATGTTGGGGGCTGGGTGAAAAAGGTGGAGGGATGAAGAAGTACAAATTAGTAGTTACAAAACTGTCATGGGAGTGTACAGTATAGCATAAGAAATATAGTCAATATTATTGTAATGGCTAGGTGTAGTACCAGATGGGTGCTGGAGTAATTAGGGTATCATGTCATAAATTATATAAATGTCTAGCCATTGTACAGCGTATCTGAAACTAATATAAAATTTAAAAAAGTAAACATTTGAATTGATATTGATTTGTTGATGTTTGTTTAATAATTCAATTTCTATACTTAGAAAACAAATGTTTCTTCTTGATAAATAACAAAATGTTTGTTACTGTAAGAATATTGAAAAATGATTATAATTCAACATCATTTACTAAAGGGAGTTTCAAGATAATAATCTTACAGCAACAATAACAAAATTATAGCAAATAGTGTTTTGGTAAAAAAAATATAATAATAGCCTACATTTATTCAGTGCTTACATGCATTATTTCATTTAATCCTAATGACAGTCCTCTGAAGGAAGTGCTGTTTACCATTTCCATTATATAGGGAAAAACCGTGACGTTCAATGAGGTCAAATAAATGGTCTAAAGCAAGAACCAGCAAACTCACTCTGTAAAGGATCAAACAGTAAATATTTTAGGTCTTGTAGGACACATAGGCTCAGTAACAGCTACTCAGCTTTGCCATTGTAAGGCTGAAGCAGCCATAGGTAATATGTAAATGATAAATATGGCTGTGTTCAAATAAAACTTGATTTATGAATAATGAAATTGAATTTCCTAAAAATTTTTACATGTCACAAAATATTCTTGTTTTGATGTTTTTTCAACCATTTAAAAAACACAAAAACCATTCTTAGCTCAAGAACTGTGAAAAACTGTCAACGAGTTGGCTTTAACCTGCAGGCTGTAGTTTGCTAACTCCAGGTCTCAGGTAACATAGACAATAAATGATAGACTCGGGCTTTGAACCGAATTATCTGCCTAATTCTAAAGAACACACATTTCAAGTACTTGTACATTGTATTTACAGTTTCATCATGTAAGACTCTATTTAAAGATACCCCTTCTAAATCAATTTGCATCAGTGTAACTAATTTTTCATCTAAAAGAAGAGGCCACCAAAATGTATTATAGGTCTATTTTATAGGTTGTTGGTAGTATATGTTCATCCAAGACTTATTAGGAGGGCTAGAAGTGATTATATGTAAAGGAGGGTTGTTCGCAAGGCACAACCAGGGGCCCAAGGTCAAAATGGCTAGTAAAATGCTAAAGGGTAACCCTACGGTATAGGTTAATGGCAAGTTCCTTTTTAAAAATGAATTGTTTGTCTGTGCCAAGCACTGGATTAGATGCTGGAGGTTGAGAAGTTAAATAGCTCAATTGCTGTCCTTAAAGAATGCAAAGCAGACATAGGCAGACGATAAACAGTTATAATACAGGGTACAAATGAAGCACGGTGAGGGGAGATAATTCAAGGTGAGGATGAGTTTGGAGGTAACAGGTGGAGAGTAGAGGCTGACAGTCTGCATCAAGAGAGGCTTTTCAGAAGAATGAGTCTTCAAGGTGAGTTTTGAAGAACTAATAGGATTAGCTAGCTAAAACCAGTAACAGCAGGTACAAAAACACAAAAGAGAGAACGTGGCTTGTTTAGAGAACTGCATTCTAGCGGACGTCACACTGGAGATGAGGGTTTCCCCTCGCATGACCTCTTCCCTCTCATTCCACCTACTGTCTTTTATCAAAATCTGAATTTAGCTCAGAAACTCTGGAGGAAGGAAGAGGCCTAATGTAGCGTACCGTTGGTAGTGTGCGTTTACCCAAGACTTATAAGGAGGGCTAGAAGTGACTGCATAAAGATCGTTCACAAGTCACAACCAGTGACATAGAGTCAAAACTGCAAGTAAATGTGAAAGATTGATGTATAGAGACATGACCTTAAAAAATGCACAGTAGATGAACAGAAGATAGTGCAGTTGGCAGACAGCTCAGCATGATCTCAGAAGACTAGGAAGGGGGGAGGAAGGAGTTGTCTTTTAATATGAAACCATTCAACAAAGTCTGATGCTTGATCAAGTTCTCTTTCAAATGGAATAACACATTTTTAAAATTAGTTTGCAATTACAACAAAATTAGAGAAATTCATCCTTATAAAACATCCAATCATTACAGATAAAATCAACAACTACCAATTCCTGTTTCTAACTCCCTTACCCAGAGGCAGATTTCTTTATTCGTTTCAGTGGTCTCCTTTCAAGCTATTTTCTATGCATTTACATACATCTAAAATAATAACATTTAGATAAAAATTATTTGTAATTCGAATCCATTCATTGGAACAGTTTTTGAACATTGGTTCATCTGGAATGAACTTTACAAAAAAAAGTTTTAAAACTATTTAAAATAAAACTAAAACTAAAGAGGAAAATGAGTTCATATACACTTTTAAAAATGGTAACTTTTGTTTTTCCAAAAGAACTAATGACAAGATTTTTGTTTGTTAAAAACAAATAAACAAAGTCAAAGAAACCATAAACCAGTGGTAACGTAGAGTGCTGGAAACCACTGGGAGGCCATGTGCTGCATGGTCAAGAGTGTGGAAAAAGTTTAAATCTAGGCTTTGATAAGTTCTTAACTCCTTGTGTCTCAGTTTTCTAATCTTTAAAAAGAGAATAATAATAGTGCCTACTTCTAATAAGAAATAAATGAGTTAATACATATAAACCACATAAAACAATGTCTGGGACATAACTACTCGAATAAGGTAGCCTTTCTTCTTAGTAAGAGTGCTGAGGCAAGGTATTAAGTATACCAGAATTTTCAAGAAGAGGCAATGGCCTTAGGAGGGATGAAGGAATGAGTAATGATATATTTTTTCTTTTCTTCTTTTTTTTAGTTCAAAGTTCAGCAGTAAAATTAAGTATGTCAATAGCTTATCGGAACTCAGTGGGCTGATCCCAATGGATTGCATTCATATTCCAGAGAGCATTATCAAGTAAGTCCTGATAGTTTCGAAGATTTGGTAAGAAATATTGAACGTTTGGAGGAGATTGGAAAATAATCCATTTCTTAAATAGTGGAGAAATGGCATTATCTTATGTTTAAAACAAATATTAATTGTTCTCTACTAAATGTTTGCTTACTACCATTTTGGAGAAAGCATAAATTTAACATTAATCAGTACATCTATTACTTGTGTCTCCCACTCCACACAGACACCATAGGATGGGAGCATAGCTCGGATTTTTTCATTGCCTCATGTAAAGTAATTTATCCGCATGACCCAGGAAAAGAGAAAAAATTTACCCTTTCTCTGTTTTCTTCTAAATCCTTTTTCTCATGGCTCACTTCAGGTGAAAAATAAGGCAGAGTGGTGGGTTGCACAGTTAAGAATGTTTTCTTAATCAGCACAGGGTAATGTAACAGTATGATACGGAAGGTCGCAGGATTATCCTACAAAAATAAGAGTAGAAGTTAACACTTGGAGCTAGAATTTAAAAACACAGATACTGGAGAGTAAACACTCCTATTTGGTTTATTGTTGCAAAGAATCATTGTTTTCCGTGGATCATGTTTTTCTCTCACTGTGTCTGACTCACTAGTTTTTTATTTGATTAGAATTGAGAGGAAGGTAACCATCAGCTCAAAGAAAACATACAAGAATACCCCATCTTCTTCCAAAATGGACCGCTCAATTTGGGCACCCCAAAAAAGAGTCCTCACTTAAAAAAAAAAAAAGGCACAGAAACTGGAAGAAGACTCTGAGTTAGTGGGTATCTGTTCTATGCCGTTCATAGAAGTGCTCTCTTTATATCACTTACAGCTGTGGGAAGATAACTTAGTAAAGAAAAGTTGCTTATGCAAACTATAAATAAGAACAAGGAAAAGACAGAACCAGAATCAAATCTGAGTCAGCCTGATACCAAAATTCCCATGTCCTTTTCTAGTAATTTCCTTAACCTCCTTTAAAGTTTTTACCTAAAGTCAAAGATCAGGAGTAGATGCATTTGGTTTCCCTACCTCCCATTATCAGGCATGAACCCAGGCTACTGATTGGGCTTAGAGAAGCCAGCTGGCTCAGCTGAATCAAGCAGAGTGTTCATAAGATCCTAGCTATAATCTTCATTAGCTTCGTAGGGTTCTTACAACCAGGACACCTCACAGCTCTGGCCTGCTCCTTCAAAAAAATGCACCCATTTCCAAAACACTCCTACTCTTTAAATAAAAAAAGTACTGGAGCCCCCACCTCCTATAATAATGTCTCTCTTTGCAAAAGATGACGAGAACATTTTCTTTGCAAGTGGAAATGAGCATTGTCCACACTAGTTAAAAATAGTAATGCTTTCATGGAGTGGCTGTTGGAAAAAGAGAAGAGAATGGACTTTGGAGGCTCAGCATTCAATATGAACCTTTCCTCCTTCCTTTCAATGTCTCAGAGACTTCAAGCAACTTATTAAAACTCTCTGAATCTCAGCTTTAGCATCAAGCATAATAGAGAAGTAAGGTACAATTCATGGAATGATCCTGAGGACTGAATGAGAACAAGGTACATAAAGCATTCAGAAAGCCTACTGGCACGAAATTAGCAATCCAGAATGTTAGTTATTATAACCATGTTGCTTTTAGAGATTCACTATCATATGGGAAAGTTTAATTGAAAAGTTAAATGCGCCCAGTGCAGTTTTCATTTATCTACACACACCAGTTTTCAAGGGCTCCATTTAGGAAAAGTTACTTCAGGAAAAACAGTTCCATTTGGAAAGATTTTCTTCTGGAGGAAGAAATTTACAACCATACATGTCCTCCTCGTGTATCCATGTTATCACCCGTCTTCCGTAATCCATCTCCTCTGGTCGTCCTTTCTGCCATTCGTGTTACTGGCCCTCATTGCCTCATTTTCATGTTATACCATTTTGAAATTGATGAAAGCTGTAGCTCCTTCCTATTACTGAATAACATTCAGAGGATCGGATCTCAGCCAAACCTAAGATCAGCATTCAGCTGGGATGGAGCCTGTTGTCGAAGGGCTTAAATGAAAGAAAAGCTTGCCCAACCCGGAATCAGATTTATAATCACTGATTACAGTCAATTCTTGATATTTGCAGCGGCAATGTTATAGAACACCAAACAGTGAATACTGATGTCATTCCTAGGGACAGGGTTAGGTTCTTGAGAGCCTCTGATCACAACATTTTCGTCAACCAATTAATATATAACCTTGTGTTATGTGTATTTCTGTGTTTAAAGATACTTTATTTGGTATATATATATGTGTGTGTGTGTGTGTGTGTGTGTGTGTGTGTGTGTGTGTGTGTGTGTATGTATACATATATCTGTATATATGTATATATGTATATGTGTATATATATTTATAGTTGATTCATTAATATTGAACTGACAGATAATAACACTATAACTCCTCCTAAACAAAGCTTATCTAACATATGTATATTTTCTGTAAGGCACATCACAGCCTTCTTGTGCTTAGGATCACTAGCCAGCACTATGTTGAGGGCCATTTTAAATGGCAAAATACCAAAAAATTTAAAAAAAGAAAGATAAAAAGGAAGAACATGGCACTAAATAGAGTACAAAAAGGACACTTGCTTACAGTATGAAAGCTAAAGCGAAAAGGCAGAGCCTTGTTTTGTTTAAGCTCAGCCGAGTGAATCAAATTTTTTGCCACTCTACGAATGTCTGGAAGTGACCATGAAAGTGCCACAGGTATTGATTTGGGGGTTACAAATAAAGTTTAGCAAGCAGACAAATTTGAAAACACAGTATCTGCAAATAATGAGAATTGGCTGTATTTAATTATAAATTCTAAGTCATTGATTATGTCTAATGAAAATAACATTTCTCCCAAAAGGCAATTTGATTATTATTTGGATAGGCTTTTCCTCTCATGTTTTGACTGTTCTTTAAAACATTTACCTGTCATTTTTTTCATCTGTTGGCTTGTTTTCCTCACTGCATTCGTTTTTTATCTCGTAAGGTACGATGAAGAGAGATCTTATAAGAGAAGTGTGAGGTAAAATATCCTGATCTACAATTCACACTGGACTCCCTGTGTGTGTGTATACCTGTGTCTTACTCGTGGGTGACCTCAACATGCTTCCAGAGCAAGGAGTCATTGTATCAGTCCCATGTGTATAGCATTCTCCATCTTTGTCTTGTGCATAAAGCTGTTGAGGTCAACCTGATTTGCAACTGAAGCCTATTAAACCAGATACATCCCTGACTTGGCCCAGGCTGCAAGCTAACTTTAACTGTATCTGACAGACTGATATGGATGTTTTCAGCTGTATTTAGCCAGCATGTTTCTGATCTCCTTGCAACTTTTATGAAGGAACTTGCAAAGTAAACATACATAAACACTGAATGGGAAGAAATGACACCATATTTAATTGAAGGAGTGTCTCTCAGTGCTTCAGAGGATGGTTTTTAAAAGCCCATACACTCACTTATGTTTGGCTCTGCTTTGCTGGGTGACTCTCTCACGCTCTGCTTGCTTCTTTTTTTTTTTTTTTTCCCCCACACTGATAATTTTTGCTCATGCAGACTGGATGAAGAACTGAGGGAAGCATCAGAAGCAGCTAAGTAAGATTTGGTTTTCGTTCAGCAGCTGGCGTGGTGTTGGCTTGCATTTCAGGAATGAATTGGGAGCCTGCATGCTGGTGTTGTATTCCCGCATCCTGATGATAATGCTGCACTTTAAAAGTTCCCTTTGTCCTGTGATAGACCCAATTTCAGTTATTTCAGTACAGTTTATTTTCCCCCATGATCTTGATTATCTTGAAGAATGAGTTTGTTACTGTTTAACTTTTTAAAAAATGTACATGCAATTTTAGGCATCACAGCAAAAGAACATAGCATAGTCACACACACATACACATACACACTCACATACACACATATAATATATATATAACATATAGAGTATGACATCCAGATGGTCATTAGATATATCAAGGCAACAAAACCTCACTAATTCATACTAGTGGAGAGAAATGATGGCAAGTTTAAATTTGGAGTGTTTTTGTAGAATCAATTTCATGATTTTCCAAGATTTTTTAAAACATTTTATTTAGTGACTTGGAAATATTGCTTAATTAACAGCTTCTAAGCTATCTGGATGAATAAAAAAAATGCTCACTGTTGTTCAAGTATAATTTTTAAAAAGGCAAAATCATAACTTTAATGCAAATATAAAATGAATACCAATGGTTTTATTCAACTAATTATTTAATGAAGAAATAATTAGGTGTTAAATTAGTAGGTGTTAAAACCAGTTCAAGGAGCATTTGAAAAGCTAGATATCAAAGACAATTTATAAAGGAATGTTAGGACAAGATTATTCGTTTAGATACAACACTGATTAACGTTCAGCAAAGCAATAAACTGCAACCTTAGGGTTCTCTTTTGCACTGGACAGAAATTAATTGCATCTCTGGTCAACAAAAATCTAAAAGTTAACCTCTGACCCTACAGAGTTATAAATAGTCCATCACTAGAATGCACTGCTTTGAAAGAATATCCAGTAATTTCCTTCTTTTATTTCCAAGTTACAATAATTTTTCTGACACTATATGTTAAATGTAGACAAATACTATTTGGTTTGCTATTTTGAGCTTTCTCTCCATTTCAAATGTTGCTTACACTTAATTTTTATAACCAGTTCCCATTTTAATAGATGTTGCAAAAGCAGAAAGTCTGGACAATATGCAAACAGTTACAATTTCTGAATAAATAAGATCCGAATTAGTAAAATTTTTTTTTGCATAGATGTAAATGTCAATTCTTCATGAAAACAATCCATTTAGATATTTTTTTCTATGGCCCATTTTTATTGAAGGTATTCTGTAGAATTATTTGCCTACAGTGTGGACCTTTGGGGTTAAAAAAATCAAGGAAAGCTTTTTGCTTTAGAAAGTTTAGCATTAGAGTATTTTCCTATCCTCTAGTTTTCTTTCAAGATAACTGTTCTAATTATTAGACTAACAATACTCAAAAATATATTAATTTTTACTCTAACAGAATCTTCTTAGTCTCTAACTCAACTGTGAAAAATAAGAAGTTGTGGAAATGAGGGTGATATTTGGAATTTAGGGGCTGAATGTTGGTGTAATGTACTCCTTTAGCATTTATGAGATTCCCCAATAAAGAAACAGCAATAAGTTTCTCTTTCAGATTTCCTTCCTTCCTTCCTTCCTTCCTTCCTTCCTTCCATCCTTCTTTTCTTTTGGACAACATATTTACAATATTAAGAAGCTGTTTTCAAGATAAAAGAAAGGAAGAGCTGACCTCAATAGTTTTCTACCCAAACCCATTATAAAGTCATATTGCCATATATTTTTATTAGTACCATAAAATTTTGCCTCCCTCAATAAATTTTTTCCCTCCATATTTTTACTCTTCCTGCATAGCTACTGTAGTGAAACAGTTATTTTTGGTTTAGTTGTGTAGCTTTCTCTTTTTTTTCGCTCAAATCCTTCATTTTTTTCTCTTCCCTACCCTTACAGCCCCCTTCTCAGGTATCTAAATAGTCTCAAGTAGTCTTGAGAAGTCTTGATCTCCTTCCTAAAAGAAGCACCAAGCTCATGCCTAGTACATAGTAGATGATCAGTAAATTTCTGCTGCATAAATTGACAAATGTGCATAAGATTAAGATTGTTGCTGTGGAGCAGTGGCTCTCAAACTTTACTGTTGTGCATCAGAATCACCTGGATCACTGTTAAAACAGTGTCCTAGGCCTTACCTGCCAAGTTGCTGTATTTCTAACAAGAATCTGTATTTCTAACAAGTTCCCTGTGATGCTGATGCTGCCCATCAGGACCATGCTTTGAGAATAACACTTTAAAGTAATTGACTGAGAAAACGAAGACATGTTTAGAAAAGGAAATGAAACTGACTTTGAAACACGTAAAAAAGAAAGTAATTGGCTGAATTAAAATAATTAGATTTGTCTTAGGGGTCTTTACTCTTGCTTTGTATTCAGTGGGTAAGCTGCCTATCTGAATTCTCTTCCTGTTGATCTTATTTCTTTTGATGGTGACATTACATGTATGAGGAATGGAAATATATTTCCACATTTGAAAATGTGTAAGGAGAAAGCATTTTACTCTGTTGACCCCACAGATGATTGAAATGCCTCTGAAGTGGGCCCCAAATCTTTGGAAACACTGTATGTGATCATTGGGGGTTCAGAAAACACAGTCACTGCAGATCTATGGTTAGATTCTAGAAGCCAGATAACCCAGATTCGTTCTATTAACAGATGCACTCTGACTTTCCGCATGACCTTTATTAAAAAACTTCGGACTGGTTCTAACTAAAGGCAAACATATATCTTGTCAGGGAACAAAACTCACCTGTCTGTTGCTTTGCTTTATTCCCACTAGTGTTTTTAAACCTGCACCCTCTCCCTACATACAAACCTCTAATTGACTTTCAGAAGGTGATTTCCTCAGCCTGCCTTATTTTTTTCTTTAAAACTTTAGATCTATACAGAAAAGAAAAATGCATTCGAAAGAGGGATTGTATATAGTCATTCTTACATTGAAAATGTTGAAGAATCCACCTGCTGCCTTTGTAGTGACAGTATTTGATGGATTGCAAATTGCTGTTTTCTTTGGAAGGATTATGCAAAATTAAAAAGCAGAAAAGCTAGGTTTGGAAGACTGTCCTTTCTTGATTCCAGTCCAACTTTGCTATGTTTTTGTAGCACACTGTCACAGTTTTCCTGACTGTCCTTTTTCACTAGAGTTACCTAATATACTCTGTAAAAATACCAGAGCACCAATGGGGAGTAAAGGGGGAAAAACCTTCTGCCTTTCCCAGGGAGAAATAGTCTTCTGCCATTTTCAGCAAAATACCTAACATTAATAACTGCACCTCTTATGTGCAAATAGATATATTAGCTTGTGAAATTATTCACATTACAAAAGGAACTCTGGCATGTAAAACGGATCATAGAATCCCTTTAAATGGTGTTTGTTTGCCAAAAAATGAAATATTTAGCAGAGGAGAAAAAGTAAGAGGTGAAGTGTACTAAGTATTAATTAGATATTAATATAAAGCAAATTTGAAATTTGCTAACAGAGGACTCATACCAATATTGAATATCAAAAGCAGCTAATATTGCACCAAAAAAGCATAAACACATTCATATACCATAACGAAACTTTTATTTCATGATTTTATATGGTTACATTTTTCTTTCTGGACACATTCGATTCAGGTTAATGTCAGGATCCATTTGTATTACCTGAACATAGCTCAGCTATGTGGTAGCACACATCCTATTACACTTCTGTCACAGCGACAAGGAAAGCTGACACTGGTATTTTTCCTTTTAGTGTTTTGGAAAATCCTCCTTTTTATAACTGAAAGTTAACTGTGTTTATATGTAAATGAAATTGGGCTGCTTGAAATTGATTGTTCTTTGTATATAAAACATTATATTTGGGGAGTATAAATAAAAATTTGCAATATTATATTATAGATTGAAAATTTAGGGAAAAAATTGACAAAGACAGAAGAGACCAGTGGAAGTGTTTTTCAAAGTTTTCGATCTTCCTTTTATGTTTCTGAATCATGGGCAATTACTATATTTCAATACCGATGGTAAAAGAATCACAGCTTAATCTCATCATCGGTTTAGGTATAGATTTGTTCAATATATTAGCAATGGGACAACATTAAACAGTTTAAAATGCCCAAATCTACTGGGCTTACAAAGTGGTAATGGTGGAGAAAATGTTTACTGCTTCCTCTTTTCCTTGCACTCAGAACTAGCTGCCTTTACAATGATCCTGAACTGTCTTCTATGGAGAAGGAGTAAGAATTCACCATCAACAACTATGTGGTTACTTGCAGTATTGTATGGCTGAGCTCTGAAAGTAAAAAACTCATTGAGGAATGGGTAAACCCCGTTTAGATGTTCAGCTTTCATTTATCTATTCCTGAAATTAGAAACTTAAAGAGGAATGTGCCAGCTTAACACCATCTCATTCATGATCACCATTTAAATCTCTTACAGACAATTTATGTCCGTACTTGACCTTCTATTTTTCCAATCCAAAAATGAAGAGAAAATGAATATTAGAGTCAAATATAAGAGTATTTGGGCAAGAGTAATGCAAGTCTACTTTCTAAATTGCATCATCTATTTTAATTCATAGAAGTTGGGACTTCTATTTGAACTTAATATTTTGGTAGATGGGAGAGAAAATGTTCTTGTTTTGAAAATTCCAGGAAGCGGTTGAGTCTCTATGAGGTCCGAGGACTGATCTAGTTCATTCAGTCCCACCCTGTGAGAAATACAAATCGAACACATATTGAGCCCTTAGCATGTGCCAGGCTCTTTGTAAAAAGCTTCATGTGCACTATCTGATTTTTATCACTTAATATTTTGGTAGATGGGAGAGAAAATGTTCTTGTTTTGAAAATTCCAGGAAGCGGTTGAGTCTCTATGAGGTCCGAGGACTGATCTAGTTCATTCAGTCCCACCCTGTGAGAAATACAAATCGAACACATATTGAGCCCTTAGCATGTGCCAGGCTCTTTGTAAAAAGCTTCATGTGCACTATCTGATTTTTATCC